AAAAAGCGCCATTCCTTCAAAATTCGTATACTGGTTTCTTGATCGTCCAGGAATAAGGGATTCCTGTAATCTCGTTCGCAGATCTTCCCCATCTCGTTGACTCGACTTAGACTACGGGCAGTCGATTTTCGTATACTCCGCGTATATTGAAAAGTTGAAATTACGCAAATTAGGGAAAGAAACGAGAAGGGAATGAGGCGAGACAGCAGAAAAACCTTTTCGCGCCCGCGCTTCTTGCCGCATAATCGTTCTCCTTTTGTTTGCATTGGTGTATGCGTGTCATACGCATGCGTGTCAATTGTATTCGCGTCATACGCTAGGAAACGAAAGACTGAAGAGAGAGTATCTTTTTTAACGTGCAACGATACGATACGATACTTAATTTAACGTGGAGTTACGCTTAGCTAATCAGCTAGTTTACAGGTAATCCACGGCCCTAGCATATTCTAAAAATTAAGACTAAAAATGTACAATAACTGATCGTATAAAACTATAAACGCAGAGAACTAAAAATCTAGGGAATCAAATCACAATGAATTCCGATATCAGTCAAACTTAAGCGATCGAATTTTGTTGTTCACTTCATTAGTGCCTGCTTTAGTTCAACCAAAAAATGACTTTATCGATTGTTCCTATATTAAACAATGATTTAAACTGTATACAAATAAACCTCTGTATTTAACAAACCTTTCGCCATCTAAAGTGAGTTTGCTAAGTACCCACTCATAACAGAAGAAATAAATACCCATGCCTGGTACATCTGCAATATAACACAGATCAAAATATATAACAAAGCAAAGAAAAGAAAAATCTCGTTCCCAGAAGCCTTTTGGTTAGCACCGACAAATCGAGACCTCTGGGAGAAATCGGAAGGTGAGCTAGCATAAGGAACAGCGGCTACTTTCTCTACGCATGTTCAGAAACCGTTATTGAACTTAAACGCATTTGCACAATCAAACCAGAACTAGGATTCGTAGAGTTTTCGGTCACCGCTGACCGTAAACGGACGGTCAGTAACAAAGAACTACATGCTATATATTCTTATCTCATTTCCATCTCAATCTCTTCTCCTTACCGCGAGGATCAGTCGCTTTTTCCTCTTTAGCCTTTGAACAGGCTCCGGCTTGAGGGGTCTAACCGCGGCTGAAAGGGTTGGGAAGGACCTGGCTGAGAGTGAAATGGCCTAGGGAAAAATGGGGTGGGGGGTTGGGGCGTCGTCTTCCCTCCTCTCTCTTCTTTCCGCTTTCCTCCCGCTTTCCCTTCGCCATCCTAGACTAGAGAACTTATTCAGGCTATTTTCTCGTAAAAGTAAAGTGTTTGATCAGACATTTAGCTCTCACCTCTGAGAAGCGTAGCGCAAGTCCCTCTGTACAAGGATCGTATTCCTTTCTCCGTGTACAGTTGTTTTGCGCAGTTCAGGGGCCCTTTGTACTTTCTTTCCCCTCCTGAACTTTGTTGAACCTGCACAGGAAAATCACACAGTATGCGGTCAATAAATCTAGTTTTCTTTTCAAACCTTCATCGGAACAATGTAAAAGAGAAGAGGTATGCTTTATTTAATTTGATCTTGCTGTTAGCCTGTTGCTGTTTATCATTCTTATTTGTCAGCTGTCTTTTTCTAGCGAGTGTCCACAAAGTTCAACCTTAGGACTATTCCTTTTTATTAACAACTGGATCATTGGATAATACAATTCAAGAGTTTTCACTGGCTTAGCCATCATGGTATATTTAACAATTATTATATACCATGCACTTCAAATATGGTAAGCGCACACGCAGTTCAGTGGGGTCGTTTATAATTTTTATTTTATTTTAGTTTTCTGTATGTTGGCGGCATTTTTTTTTTTTTAAATATTTCACTCGTGCTTGTTGAATGAGATGATTATGGCTAACTCGGTGCTGTGTGCCTCGTTCGATGCGCCTCCCTCTTCGGCTATTTATCAAAACCATGTGATCCCTGGGCTCCCTGAGGTCCCCTGGGGCTCCCGCTGGGGAGTCTGATGCCTGGCCTCATACCCAGGATTCTCTCGGCGATCGAAAAGTTGATCAATTTCCTGACAACTTTGGACTGAGTGGGAAGCTGCCGGGCAAGTATTTGGCTATATGCGTAAGTACATTTGCGTATTTGACATATTAACATATATGCAAGCTAAATACTTTTATAAGTATGTATCACACAAGTGAAAAGGGCTTTACACCTCCGAGCAGCCGAAGAGAAGCAAAATGGCTTCCGAGTTCGCTTCGGTTACCGAAGAGGAAATTATTGTACTTTAATTTGACAGCTGCTGTGACACTAGCCAAAACACTTGATAACATGTTTACAGCATGTTATCACGTATATATTAGACGAAAACAACAGTCTTTATTCTCAGTCTGCATTTAGTACCTACAATGTAGACTGCAATCTGCAGTCAGCAGTTTGTACCCAGTCTGTAGTCTGCATTCTGCATTTTGCACTGACCGTGTTTCTGTTTCCTTGTAATTTAAGAAACTGTGAAGCTCCTGTTTCATCTTATTTACAAGAGGGGGTTTCGCCTAAGTACATGTATATAAGCTTAAGGTTCCCCTACCCCTTGCAAAAATAATGTAGATTGTTTTCAGTTATGGCCTGGCCATGGTGCCTTAAGGTAATTTCCCTGAAATAAAACTGCACGTAGATTTTTGTTCAAACTTTGTCAAATGAATATTTATCATACGAGAACTTTAATTATAAAATAAAAAACGGGGGTGCCCGTGCTCGTTAAGGAGGAGTGAGGCATTGAAAATGTCCCATTTTAGCCTTATTTAATGCTTATTACAAGAACGCATTCCAAGTTATTGTAAGCTCTTTGTGAGCCCAGACTCATGAAAACACGCCTCAAACTACAGTCAATACTTGTGTCAGACACAAATAAACTTTTTAAGTTTGATGTTGACAGACAGCTGAATCCTTGTTAAAATATTGGAACCAAATTGCTTGCCACGGCTATCTAACTGCAAAATACATGTAGACTACAGTGCAGCTGCTATTTTCCTTATTTATTCATTTTTCAACCATAGAAATCAGATCAGTCTTTTCTCATGCAAAGCTAATGAAAAGTTGATTAAAACAACTGGAAATTGGGGTGCCCAAGCTCGTTAGTGAGCTATAGCCATTTTTCAACTGACAGAACTCAATATCAAGGCAAGTCCACCATGTTTTCAATGTGCACATGCACGAACGCGTGCTAATGATGCCATAAATTATGCGCAGTAAGGTTGTGCAATGCAATACTGGGGACCTTAAATGAAGCCCCTTGAAGTAACCACACTAACAACAGTAACTACTTTTCTTTGTGCAGGTAAAATAACAATTGTATAGAATTTGGGTAACAATGAACATCTCGAGCACATCCCGTTCAGTTGAACAGCTTGTAGCTGAAACACTTGACTTCCCTGCTAAAGAAATTGGTGGTGGATTCAAGACTGTTGGTGATCTTGCGAGTCCTGACAAGTATTTATACTGGCAATTTCCTGATTGGAAGTTTGGCAACAAGACTGTGATGATTCCATCTGCATACATGCCTTCTGAGCTGGGCTATACCATTTCTAGAGATGGCAAATATGTTCACTAGGATGATTCCAACGTAAGAGGAATGCAAGGTGAGAAACTAGTTTATGATCTTCTCCAACACGTTGGCAGAGCAAAGAACACGGGCATGTTTGTTATTCATGGATTTCAGCTCAAAGACATCAGCAGATGGAACGAAAGATGTAAAAGGGAGAGTATAGAAGGTGTTGTACCTAAGATACCAGAACGAACAGGAGAAAGTGACTTCATAATTTTTCATCACACAAAGGGTGTTATTTTGATTGAGGTTAAAAATTTGAAGGAATCAGATACCAACATCCAGGAACTGGCCAATTTTCCACCTACAGAAAATCCCACGGAAACTAAGGGAACCAAGGCTGCTGGATACAGCAATGACAAAAAGGAAACTCCAACAAAGAAAGAGGAAGTGCCATTCAAGAAGGATGCTGAGATTGATAAGGCAAAAGATGAACTGAATAAAAGTACAAAAGTTGTGAAGGCTTTTGCTGAAACAAATTCAAGCTGCAGTAAACAATCTGATGAGTTGGAGCCATTTCCAATAGTTATGTTCATTGCACTTCCATCAACAAGAAAAGGTACCAAACACACACACTTGGAAGAAACGTTATTCATATATGAAGAAGACCTTAGAACTCCAGAAAGCTTTTCACAATGGTGGACTGATAACATCGAAACACTTCCCTTGATGGCCACCACCCTAGAGACCACAAAGGCTTACACACTGGCCTTATCTAGAATGTTGGCTGTGCGACATTTAGGTCCTGTCACAGAGTCTGAATACACAGCAAACACAAGTTACATCTTAGGCAGTTTCAAGCATCTGGATAACTGGGCAAAACGCTTCCGCAGGATAAGGGAAATTGAACACCCCCATCTCTTCTGTTGGTGCAAAGACATGTCTCAACTGGACCTTCCAGCTACAAAAGTGTTGAAAGAAGAAGCCTTTGATGCCCTAAGAAGTGTCAACATTATTGCTGCTGAAGCAAACCTTACAAAGGTTCTCAATAAACATCTTTCAGATAGCAAGTTCGTCAGTGGTGAAGAACCAGCTGCTGAAGATACCATGGTGTTTCAGTATCTTTCACAAGAGTATATAATGGACATTGACTGCATCATTAGATTCATGAGCAGAGTCACTGAAGCACAGACAGCTGACAGAACCCTGACAGCTGACAGAACCCTGAAGGACTTCAATCTAGAAGAAACAGAAGACATTGGTGGGCTTAACCAACTCTCAAAGCTGCTGGATAGAAACCAAGGTGGGTTTCTAGGAGGGGAGCATTGCACAAATCTAGATGTTGAATTGTGTGACAAATTGGCCAAAGGGAACATCAGAGTTTTGCCTCTTGCTGGGAAGACACCATGGGCACCTGTGTTCACAATGGAACAACTTGCTGTGTTTGAAGGGCCAAGGAAGCAACTGATCATTGGTGGACCAGGAAGTGGAAAGACAGAACTGATGAAGGCCAAAGCTTTGACCCTCAGCCAGCAGACAAAAGGCGGTTTTCGAAAAGACTTTTAAATAGCTAAGATGGCCCGGGATTGTTCAAGTCTTGTAGAGCTCAGAGTATATAATACTTGAAACACTTGTTGCGTATCTCAGCGAACTTACATCATTTGAATCATTTCCATGTTGCAGTATTTTGTTATCGTTTTCTGAAACAATGTCTTCTGGAGACCAATTTTGATCACCATCTTTAACAAGCATGGCATCTGGAATAATGTGATTCATTTGCTGACGTAGTTGTTCTGTTGTCATGCTAGCTTTGCTTTGGTTTCCATTTGACGAGCTGCTGTGATATTCAATCTCCTGTAAGACAGACGACATGTTTTTATTACTTGTGGCCGGCGAAATTTTGAGAGTCACCTCATCTGAAATAGTGGGCTTTAATCTCACAGCTGATCCACGACTGCTGGTGTAATCGCGGTCGCTTTCTTCGTAGAAGTGTTGCCAGTTTTCAACACTAAGAACGTTCCTAGAGTGGACGACATGCTAAACACCCCTTGGGTATTTTGTCTTATCCTGAAAACTTGGTGATGAGGCTGTGAGGAAACAACATTTAGAAAATAACCGTCAACTTACTCCGAATCCTGGACAAGGAGAATCCATTGCACTCCTTGTAACTGATCTCCAATCGAAGGAATTTTGGTTTATGCCCTTTGGCAACTCTTTCCATCCGAGCACATGAAAAATCTCGTCAGACAAGATATTCCATGTTTTACCAGGCCAGATCAACCAGATAGGACTGTTGCTTGCTGGAAATACCTTGCTTTGAACAAGCTTTTTATCTGGGAGGGGCTTTGAAAGTTTGCCAGTTGAACTACCATGTGGGTAATTTGCGCCAGTATTTTGAAGAGAAACATTACCATTTAGCTTGCAATGTTCCTTTGACAGTTTAGTCTGCAAAATATGCACAAGCCAAAAATTAAGCATGAATTTTGTCGCACGAATAAAGAAAATAACAGTCTCTCAGTCTACTTTCTCGTTACAATCATACAAGCAAATGTAATATCCTTGCGCGCTTTTTTTCTTGTTGTCTTGTTATTTCAGTTCTTCACTGTTCTCAACTCTTTAACGCAATTAAAGTAACTCATCTAGACCCGGATTATTGAAATGATTTATTTAATCTTGTATAACCATTTAATATCTTTGCCTACTTACCTTGTCTAGATGACCCCGATGTTGCTGTGTTGCGATATCGGTCAAATATGTAACAAGATCCATTCCCTGACTTGACTCGTCTGTCTTTGTACTAGCGGTGATTTCGTTTCCATTGGACATCTTGCTGTGATATCCCTTCTGCTGCAACAGAAGCCATATGTTTTCTTTACTTTATGAGTTGATATTTGTGAGTTACTTCATTACCATGAAAGAGTGGGCTTTTATAGCTTACAGCTGAGCCGGGAGTGCTGTAATTGTGGTCGCGGTCACATTATTCATACGAATGTTACTAGTGTTCAAATGTAGGAAAGTCCCTGGGAAGAAAGAGACCGATACGCGAAATACCCCCGAGATATTTATATAATTCACTCACCGCAGAAAATCGTTTTGTCACCGTTCACATTCTAAGTATTCTCCCCCTAACTCCCCCCCCCCCCCCCCCCCCCCCCCCCCCCCCCNCCCCCCCCCCCCCATCTTCCAACTTGTTACCCCAGTAATTAAATTTTCAACAGTATCTGGACTAGGATTAAAAGGATCCAAATTTGTTTCACTTACTTCGTTTCGATCATCTCCGTGTTGCAGTGTTTTGTCGTTTTCTGAAGAAATGCCTTCTGGCCGAAGATAGCGATCTTTCCTCGTACTAGCGGTGCTTTGGTTTATAGCGGCAACAGGGCTAGTGTGAAATTCCTTCTGTCATGAAGCAAAAAATGTAATTTTTCAATATTGGTGGGTCACATTTTTTTTAGAGTCACCTCATAGTCATCCTGAATAGCGGACTTTGAACACACAGCTGACCCAAAATTGCTGATATGGCCGATCACTTTCTTCAAAGGTATGCTGCCGGTGTTTTTAAAACACCTCAAAGATAGCAAAGAAGAAAGTTACCGACAGAAGAAATGCCCCTGGAGTATTTTGCTTGACGCGCTAACTGGTAAAGCAAAAGGAAGATATTTTATTTCTAAGTAGTCGTTTTATTTCCTGATTGGCGAACCTGGAATTTAATACGAGGAATTTGAAGGAAAGTGCCACTCCTCCCTTTCCCCTCCCCTAATCCGTGCACCCGTCCATTCCCGTCTTGTGCATCTCCAAAGTAAAAGTTTAGTGTATTACTATTCATGACGCTAGAATAATAATATATAAACACAAAATAATAAATTCCTAAAAAAAAAAGGGCCAAGGGATAATCTGTAAAAGCTGAGTCCAGGACCCAGTATAGAAACAGATCATCGAATCGCTTAGAAGTACATATTATATCCAAGTCTTAAAAGTATTTGTACCAGGGGAATAAAACAATCTATCTAAAACATCCAGGTGTTTATGTTTTAAACCGTATGCAATATTTTGCTTTACTTGTATCTCGGTGTACTTACTTCGTTTCGAATGGCTGCAAATGGTTGTGTTGTGTCTACACTGTTTCTGCCTTGGACGAAATTCTCTTTCAAAGTCACCATTAGTTCTCCCAACTCTATAGCCGTTACATCGATTTCAAGAACAGCCTCGCGGTGACTGAGATTTCTGGAAGTGATAATCCTTGGACGGAATGGGCCCTGTGTGTCTTCAACGACGTGGACGCCTTAGGTAAATTAAATAAAACAAGATTCTAAATATGGACGCCCAATTGTAAGTTGGAAAGCGCGTTAAAGTTGGAAGTTACTCTTCGTTTAAAAAAGATTAAAAGAGACCGCGACAATTCTAAATATCGAGTCGAAATAAATAATTGCGTTTGTGGACTCCACAGTTGCATTCTTTTTTTTTTTTATCAGTTCAAAAGAAAAGATAGCCATAAAACGCTCGTCCTAGGTTAGCTTCTGATTCCTCCTTGAAAAACCAGGCCCATGTAAGGAAACGAATTCATTTTAGAGCATAACAAAGCCTGATTTTAAGAACAGATATGCGCGCACAAGCGCAAGTCAAGAGTCACTACATATTCAACAATTAGAAACGCAAGGGCAAAAAAAAAAAAAAAAGAAACGAAAACGATTTTTTTTCCATGCGCAAGCCCTCGTTCCTACGCGCTCGTATTTATCTCCTGCACCAGCGGGTATGCTTACCCTTGTGCGTACGAATCTTATAGTAAAAGTCCAGCAATAAAAAACAGAAAACCAAAAAAGCGGGAAACATGTCGCTTCAGTAAAACCGTTTGATAAGCGCCAGCGCGCTCTGGAATGATTACGTCAGGAACGATGTCATAGCAACCAGAAAATAAACAAACCGGACTTCTATAACTCAGGCCTCAGTGATCGCCCCAAAAGGATCAAGTTTCGATCAAGCACTTTTCTTAAGGTAAATTGAAACTAAAACATTGTCGGGAACATGGCATCACATGTACCTATTGGTTTGGTAATTTTGACCAGGAGACAATCAGTAAAATGTATTAAAATGGCCAAATTTTAGCACGCGCATAGATCCTTTCTTGGCGCGCAAGCGTCATTGAAAAAGTAAATGATTCCTTTTAAAGTGATAGGCAATACTTACCCTTCGTATTGGTGTTTCCTGAAGCGGACATGAATCCTAACAAAGTTAGGATTAAAAAAACGCAAACCCAAGAAGCTTTCATGATCCTCTAATAACTCTTTTCTGTTGATGAACGCGACACGACAGAACCCGTTTCGCGACGCAGAGCGAAGTAAAGAAAAAAGTTGACGTCATAGAGACAACACAGTCATTCGAAGTCTTGAGCGCGCGCCCTGAATAACATAGCTCGTGACAACCTTCAAAAAAAGGTATGGGCTTCGATTTTTTTGCGTGGTGTCTGAAAGTTTTATTTCTTTTCCATTATGAACTTCTTGAAAACGCACGAAATGTATACACAGTGAGTTTGCCGGAATACCGTCTCTTTGTTATAAACGTTACTATACATAATTGGAGTCGTTTCACAGTAGACTCAAACTCAACACCTTGGTCTCACTTACAAATAGCCAACTGATCTGCCTCCTACCAGTTGGGGCTTTTTTTAAAAAAAAAAACTTCAAATTATTTGGGTCTGATATTTATTTCCATTTTCGCAGCTTTCTACCCTAACGTACACACTAATTTCTGACCATACTAATGCGATTTCCTTTGAAAACGTACATTTTTTGATGCTCGTTTGCCTACCGTCCACACTAAAACTACCTAAAACACCGACGAACACGAAAATTGAAAAGTTTTAAAAAGTGGAGTCTTTTGAAAACGCTTCGTTTCTAGTGTGGACAGCTGAAAACGGAGGCTTTTGGAAACAGCGACGAAAAAGGCGTGACATACCGTCGCTTCCATCGGCTTTCTCGGGCGTTCTACTGTGAAAACGCATCGGAAAGTGTGCGTTTTCGAATGAAACGCAATAGTGTGAACAGGTGAATACAAAACGAAAACGCAAGTGTGGGTGAAAATATTTTGCTTCTTTTAGGTTGAGAAGAAAATGGTTACTTTTAAAAACGCATTAGAGTGGTCGGAAAACTCCACAAAACTCCACAAGGATCATCTACGAATGTGCCGTAACGTTCGCGTTTTCGGAAGCCTTCGCTTTGGCTATCCACACTAATCCGACGGGGTTCCGTTTTCAAATGTTCTACCCTGAACAGCATTTTGAAAGATGTACGTTTTTCATGAAAATCAGAAGCGTTTTCTATCGTATAAGGCCCCTTCCATACTACGCTGGAGATAATTGAAAACGCAACATAATTAATCACTGGTAATTTTGGATCTGTGTTTGAAAAAAAACTCGTACAGGGAAATCATATAATTATCGTGATGTTATCGTTTTCGAAAAGCTCCGTTTTCAAAATGTTTTCCGTCCACACTAAAACGCAAAGACGGCGTTTTCAAATTCCTCCGGTTTGAAGAACGTTTTTGGAAAGCTCCCGTTTTCGTGACGGATTAGTGTGGACGGTAGGCCTAATTGTAGAAATAAAGCTGCGCGTTCAAATTTCTCCGGCGTAGTGCGGACGGTAGGCGAGAACGCGTAAACAAGAATGCGTTTTCAAATGCAAATGTATCAGTAGACAGCAGGAGAGGTGCAAGACTTGCAAAAAGAAAACAAAGTTCACATCAAATTACACACGCACATGAGTCATGTCAGCGGATTGCGAAGTTCATTTTCCTTAAAATACGCATGGCATAATTGTTTTCTCTCTACACTAAGTCACCGGCCCTGGCCCTGATGGCAAATATATAGTTAGGCTGGTACAAAAACAAACAACAAAAATAATAAAAGACAACATCTGCTTATATGTAAGAAGACAGCACTGGCATCCTAAAACACAAAGACAAAGGAGTGAGCCTTCATTATGGATCCCAGTCCTCTCTTTCTCTTACTACGCAAAATAATAAGAGCTCTGGAGATAAGAATGACAAGTTACAGAAACAAATAGCCCATATTTTGGTCATTGAATGCGTCTGTTTCAAAACGAGACCAAACGCTTTCGTTCGAAAACGAAGCAATAGGACGAGCCTTTTGAGATACGGTAGCTATACTATAGCAGCCTTTTTCCAACAAAGCGTTTTTGCACATATCGGTTTTCGAAGCAGTTCCTAGTATACCTGCGTTGCCAGAACAAATTGTATTTTCAACATAGAAATTCTCCTTCCTCGTCCGCATATTCGATATAATACTTAATAGGAGAATTTGATTATATGTCCGTTTGTGATAAGTGTAGTTCTTCTCACAACTCGCATGACTGATTTTGTCTGACATCTCCAGGAGAAACTGGAAGGTGATTCCGTTCAACTGACTATATACAGATCTCTCAGCTCTTTACTCTGGTGAAATCCAGCTGAAGAACTTCATTGCGATTTCGTAACCAAGGAAAACTCCCTAACGAAAGAAGAAATAAAAAAGTCACATAACGTAGCACAGATAAGTAATGTAAGTAAGGTTAAGTCTTCGTTGGGCCAAGAGGCCTACGTACATTACCACAGCTTATCCCGGTTTCAGTAGCATGAAGCGACTGGGAGTATTTCTTCTCTCCCTTGGGATGGTAACCCATCGCAGGGTTATCCGCAATCATTAAATTCGCCGTTACCCAACCTGATGGAGATCGAGAGGAAAGGTGAGAGAAAGTTGTCTTGTCCAGGAATACAACGTAGTGACCTCGGCCAGGGCTCGAGCTGGGACCGCTTGATCCGGAGACGAGCTCGCTAACCATGAGGTCACCGCGTCTCTCCAGTACGGGAAGATGTATCGACGTAATGGTTAGAACGCACCTCACGAGGTCCGAGTTCCAGCCGTGGCCGAGCCGAGGTTACCAAGTTGCGTTTCTCTGGAGAGACATTTCACTTTCACAGTGCCTATCCTTAAATAGGTACCAGAGAATTAAATCTTGGGGGGAGGGGGTAACGCTTCGATGGACAAGCGTGCCATCCAGTGAGGAGTAAAACCGACTGATGGAGACTTCTTGCCACGAAAACAGAAGATAAATGCCGCCAGCGTCTTAATGAAAGTCCCGGATGTGTCCCCGAATTCTGGGTGAATGGCCTGATGGACCACCGACTACAAATGAAATCTACACCCATAGATCTCCACTCACCGCGTTTGCCGGGAAAGCGCGTATCATGACAGGAACTACTCCTTTAAATAGACCAGCCACGCCTTCCTGCTTCACCTGGAAGCAAGGGTAAAAAACAATGGAGTTAAAAATGATTGAACTTCAGTGAGACAAAGAACTTTTTCCGTTGGCTCATCGACAACTAGTTGGCGATTTAGGTTGAATTCGTTCCTGAGTATCGTAGAGTAACGATACTTACTAATTGTCTGAAAGCATCTCTGACTCCTCTTGGATAAGTTCCTTCTGGAGCTACAAAGGAGAGACAGAAGCTGGTAAGAATGTCACACTTTTTCCAAGATGGTGGACCAAACTAAGGTGCAGATTTTTCGTTTTACGTCAACGCTTGTAGGATTGCAAGTGTTAACAAAACGGAAACCGACAAATGCAAGAGGCAAGGAAAGTAAAAAAACCGGATCAGCACGGAACACTCTGGATTAAGTCTATAAGTAATCTTCACCCAGTTTGGGTTATGATCTATTTAATCACAGTTTGTCTCTCTATATATTTTCTATAAGTACTCCAGTTTGCTTGTGGTTAGTTCCACTCCTTTCTTCTTACGCTTAGTTCCACCCCTGTTTGCTTGAGTTTGTCTGTATATACATTCGATAACATGTACTCAAATTTCCTTGCAGTTAGTTCCGGCCCATTCCAGTTGACTTGCGGTTAGTTCCACTCCTATCTCCTGTTTGCATGCGGTTAGCTTTCATTTGTTGGAAAGGGTAGCACGGCCGCATGCATTGTTTATACTTCTACTCATCGCTATATAGGATCCGGCATGTTCCAGATTCTATTGATAGCCGACCCGCACTCGCAGCTGAGTTTGCAGAACCTTTAGCAGCTTACCTATTTGAACACGTGACTTCAGCACGTCGGCGGGAAGAGTGCAAGCCCAGCACGCCATGCCAGTGATGCCTAATATGGTAACAGAGTACGTCATTCAAATTCATTCAACTGGTTTCTCGACTTTTATACAAATTATACAAATTCCACGACATCACTTTTACGGTAATTACTCAAATTTTTGGAGTTGGTCCACTGATAAAGAGAAAACTCAACTCAACGTACCTCCAGCAATGAATATTCTTAGAGGGTTAAGATGTTCCTGACTAATAACAAAAAAAAATAAGAATTCAAGTTGTTAGAAATCAGAAAAAGCGCCATTCCTTCAAAATTCGTATACTGGTTTCTTGATCGTCCAGGAATAAGGGATTCCTGTAATCTCGTTCGCAGATCTTCCCCATCTCGTTGACTCGACTTAGACTACGGGCAGTCGATTTTCGTATACTCCGCGTATATTGAAAAGTTGAAATTACGCAAATTAGGGAAAGAAACGAGAAGGGAATGAGGCGAGACAGCAGAAAAACCTTTTCGCGCCCGCGCTTCTTGCCGCATAATCGTTCTCCTTTTGTTTGCATTGGTGTATGCGTGTCATACGCATGCGTGTCAATTGTATTCGCGTCATACGCTAGGAAACGAAAGACTGAAGAGAGAGTATCTTTTTTAACGTGCAACGATACGATACGATACTTAATTTAACGTGGAGTTACGCTTAGCTAATCAGCTAGTTTACAGGTAATCCACGGCCCTAGCATATTCTAAAAATTAAGACTAAAAATGTACAATAANTTCACAAGAGTATATAATGGACATTGACTGCATCATTAGATTCATGAGCAGAGTCACTGAAGCACAGACAGCTGACAGAACCCTGACAGCTGACAGAACCCTGAAGGACTTCAATCTAGAAGAAACAGAAGACATTGGTGGGCTTAACCAACTCTCAAAGCTGCTGGATAGAAACCAAGGTGGGTTTCTAGGAGGGGAGCATTGCACAAATCTAGATGTTGAATTGTGTGACAAATTGGCCAAAGGGAACATCAGAGTTTTGCCTCTTGCTGGGAAGACACCATGGGCACCTGTGTTCACAATGGAACAACTTGCTGTGTTTGAAGGGCCAAGGAAGCAACTGATCATTGGTGGACCAGGAAGTGGAAAGACAGAACTGATGAAGGCCAAAGCTTTGACCCTCAGCCAGCAGACAAAAGGCGGCAAAAGGATTTTATATTTGATCCAGCTCCCTAAAAAGAAATCTGTTTTCCCTCATGTTATGGCAAAGTTTTTTCAGGACAACAAGGCAAAAAATGTTGATGTGGCTACAATTCAGCTTGACGGTGAAAAACATGAGGTCTTTGAAAGTGTTCACTTAGTGAAAATTCAGGGAGAGAGAGAAGGTGACAAACGTGAGATCTTTGGAAGTCAATGCTCACAGTTACTGGAGATGTACAGTCATGTTTTCATTGATGAGCTGTGGATTGGTTCAAAGATCAGACATGAGATGGCACAAGATGGCACAATTAAGAAGGTCGATGAGCTTCAAATTGCCAAACAAGCAATTGAAAGCATTGAGGGCTATGTTTGGATGAGCTCTGTATTTGACTTCAAGGAAGAATGCTTTGCAAAAATCAGTGACAAAGAAATTAGACTTGTTTTAGAATCAAAGAGATTGGAAGGGAAAGGAAATCTGCTTTACAATACTCTTGGCACACCATCTCTCCTGGAGACACTGAGAAGAAACGGCGGAGTCACATGTAGGGTTAAACATCTCCTCAGAAGCACAAACAACATTGTGAAGCTGTTACAAGACTACAGCTCCCGGTACATTGAAAGAGATTTTCCTTATGGTACTAAAAACATGCTCAATCACAATGTGGAGGGACAAGAAATCAGCTGGATTGTTGTTCAGCCACAAAGCGTTGCCACCTCATCAGAGATACACAAGTTGGAACAAGATGAACTATGGCAAGTCCAGAAGCATGAACTTGCAATGCAAACTTACAGCAAATGTGCAGAAGTTGTTAAAGAGGTATTACGCTTTCATGCTGATCTGCGTCCACCATCACTGATGAAAACAGGCAAAAGCCAAGTGAAGTTACAACTTTGCCCTGGTGATATTCTAGTTGTTAATTTTATTGCTCGTTATCAGTCAAAGCTTAGTTTAGGTAAAGTACTTGAAAGAAATGAAATTCCAGTCTACGATTTTCATGAGCAAAGAGTATTTTCCACTCACTGTCTTGACTGCTCTCCCAGTGGAGTATTTCTTTTAAACTCTTTGTCAAGAGATGATTCAACTTGCCTGGATGGAGCAGAGTGGCCCATGGTGATCATGCTTCTGACACCTGAACTCATGTTGAGTGAAGGGAGTGTGCGGTTCGAGACAGTTCGTAACTATGATCCATACATTGCCATGTTCCGAGCACAGGGAAAACTTGTTGTGATCTCAGATACCTGGACATCGTCCCAAGACTTTCTGGACAGTGTTGACAGAAAGTCCAGGTAAATCAGTAAGTTATTGGCCTGCGAAACAAAGTCCTTTTATGATTGGAAATCCATATCTCGAAGACTTCCTGGATAGAAAGTCCACTTAAATGAACTGGTTGGCAAAATGGACAAACTCAAATGGACTCTCTGATAAACATTCACTCTAAATGAATCAGTTGGTGAAACATATTTTTCTGACTGAAATCCTAGATTGAACAATTGGCTGAGAGGGCTATTTTCATAAGAGATCATAGAGTTTGCTTGGTAGTTACTAGTACAACAGTGTGCCCATTAGCTAAACTGGGATGTAAACTGTGGATTACCGTCTACTGCGAGACTATTCACATGAACATTATTTAGTCCTAACTCCATGTACAGGACTGTTTATTACACTGCTGGAGAATTCGACTGACTACGTTTTAACTCTGTAACTTTTAGCTCTGAGGATAAAAAATTCTCTACTACAGTATGTGACAACTCAGTGGAAAGCTAGTAAGACTTATATTTAATGAGCTGTACTTCCATATATGATGAACTATCTATTATGATTGTAGCACAAATTAGTTTAAACTGAACTTATGTATTACATCATGTATGTAAGTCTGTAGATGAAACCCTAGTCTGTAACCATTCAAATGAGAGCTGTAGTGCTTAAATGTGGACTGTTTGTACTATACTGGAGCTGAATTAGCATTAGATAGTAGCTAATGGCATGAGTTAATGTTTTTTACCTGTAAAAGACATTTGATCCTGTCAGCAGGAACCACCAGAGCTGCAGAACAAGCCCCAGAAAACATTCCAGAAGTAATATTTTGGAAATTGCTGTTTGTTAGAAGTATAACAGAGACGAAAATTAAACGAATGATAATGTAAGATTATCTCAAGTGACAGAATTGAACACCTGCAAGGCTAGTTCTAAGCATCGTGCAATGTAGGTACAACAATCAAATTTATTTCTCGAACTAAGCTGGAAAAATCCAGGATAACACAGTTCTCTTGATGCCACATTTAGGTCCACTGAGTTTTGCAATTCCATGGCAAAGAAGAAATCAAATCAAAAACTGTATTCAATGAAATAAAAGTAAGGGCCTGTTTATATAGAGAATATTTTGTCCCTGGTAGGAGGGTCACCCTCAAAGGTTAGCCACTTGGGACAGTTCTTTATGAATATTTAAGCAGCAGTGAACTGTTTATGAGAAACCACAAAGTTGGCTTGTGGGCCACTGCCAAAAGTGACTCTAGATGGAAGGTTGCTTGCTTTTAACATAGTGGGACCCTAGGAGAAAGAGGGAGTGGAGAGTGAGGGGTGAGGTGATACAGCCAACCTTTTCCAATTTGTTTTTTCTCACCTACCAGGGACTCATGGGGACATACAGAGCACGTGAGAGTTGCAGTAGTTTATCCAGAAGGGATACAATTTACGTATAATTTTCCTTCCCTCCAACAAATACCCTCTGTGGTCATTTCCATTTTCAAAAGGCAGTAGACCATTTTACAGTTGTCTGCTTAGTGTCCTGTCCTTTGAATGGCAGCGAGGCTGGAGGTGACCTTGTTTTGGTACAGTCCTTACTGCTTAATTTGTTGTGTAAATCTAGATGTTCTTATGCTAACTAGCTGGCATTTAAATGGGAAAAGCAGAGAGGTCTGCAAAGTAAGGTCACCTCCAGCCTCGCTTGCATTCATGACCAGGTAACTAAGCACTCAACTGTAAAATGTCCTATTTAGGTTGCAGACCCAATGCAAAGACTTAAGTTGGCTCAACTGTTTCACAATCACTCTGAAAGTACAATGTAAGTGTACTTACGTAGGAATCCCATGGGGGTCTGACATCTGCATTTTTCGGCCCATTGTTACAGCCCAAAACTGAATTGCAAAGAGAGGTGTAGCAAAAGCAACTGGAGTAAACAATCCTTTGTACAATCCCAAGACACCCTTTAAAGGCAAAGCAAACATTACAGTTACACGACTTGCCAAATGACTCCCTCTACTTGACTCCCGGGGGAAAGAAAATCCCACATAAAAAGGACGGGGGTGCTCGTCGGAAATTTTGAAAAGAACCCCTAAGAGGTACCAAGATCCTGTTTTGCGGGTGTGGCTTGAAATTTTTTTCACCCCTAAGAGGTACCTGGCAGCTACACCAATTCTAAAACAAAACATCTGTCATATTGTTTTGTCCCTGGCCAACACCCTAAAAGGCACCGCAAAGGCTCCTGCTGTGGTCCTCAGACCGAACACTTTAAGAGGTACTAAAACTGATTTATTAACCCCTGAAAGGTACGACAAGCACCCCCATCCTTTTTATATGGGAGTCACACCCCACCGGGCTTGACTCACCCCTACAAGAAGCTGCCTAGACAAGTGTCCTCTCTTTATGAAGGAAAAACCGGAATTAAAAAAAGTCGCTTAAATCAAGTTAAATCGATAAAATAACCATACCAGGAGCAAACAACGCACGTATGGAATAAGGTAAGTCATTTTTATTGAGAATTTTCACTTTTAACTACCTCCATGGATATCTTGTAGAAAATCCCATATAAACCCTNTTATTTCATATTAACTTCACAAGTTAAGCCATTTTTATTGAGAATTTTCACTTTTAACTACCTCCATGGATATCTTGTAGAAAATCCCATATAAACCCTTATAATTCGATGCCATATTGCGTTGCTTGTGTGGTTCATAGAGAGAGCTTGGGCTGCCTGTTTTAGAAAGCAGCAGCAATTGCTTTTTTTGGATTCTATCTTTAAACCTTCTACTTTCCAATGATTATTGTGCATTGCAACTAATGAAAACCCAGCACTTATGAATTGAGCTATATATCTGACCAGGTGTCTACAATTTATTATTTTTGATCTCTTTAAAGTAACTATTATAGAACCTCGAGCACTATCTGAAACAGCTATTTCAAACTCCCCACTACAGTATCTTGAATTCAAATTATTTTCCGTACAGCTTGAATGTATTTTTAAGTAATTTAATCCGCTATCTTGAGCTCCCATTATCTTGAACCTTTTTTTGTTTCTTTTTTTTTTTTTTGAGTTTGAGATAGTCGGATTCTGAAGTGTATTATACACCAGACTCTAGGCATGTAATGTGTGCATAGCTAGAATCTCACACACACTGATCGCTGGCATTCCCCAGGGCTGGGGTTTCATGAACATTTTCAGCAGCAGGGCAACTCGTTTTCATAGGCGGGCAAAACTTTTTGATCTGAACTTCTTTATAAGAAAAACTTTCTGCTAGATCAGCCTCATTTACAATACCTCATTCCTCACTGTTTTAACCAAGCAGTCAATGGTCCCTCTAAACAAAGGTTCTTCCCCAGGTTTTGGTAGTGGTGTTGTTTGAAGGCGAACCTATTAAATGACAATAAATTTAATGGTATCAATTTTAATGATTGACATTTTGGTAAACAAGAATGTGTAAGGAATGGTATCATGAACATGACTTTGAAAAGTCTAAACCCAAAAGACAGATTTATATTGATATAAACCTTGATATAAAGGATGTTACATTGGGTCATGAATGTACAAACTTGTGATATGATCTTGATATTAAAGACTGACAGACATTTTAAAATTCTGTCCTCATGCCCTGGGAAAATTTCAAAAAACTAATCACAATTTGCTCTCCCCGGAATAAAGGCAAGTTAAGGTACTTAGCCATAATTTTAGCATTATTAACACTTTTCTGACCAAAAATGCAACAAGGTTGCTGTGATAGTTTCTGTCACCATTATGTTCCATTAATTTTGTTGTGATCTATAAATTTTAGCTTAGGTGCTGAGTCTGATCAGGCCACCTCTTAACTCCAATATTTGTAGCATGACGTAACTGGTAGTACAGGGAAGGCTGGTCATGCCCTACCCCAGGGGGGTATAATGTCTCATCAAGAGATGATGATGCACAGAGGGTCTGGGGGTGCAGGAATCTTAAGTTGTCAAATATGAAATTTTCGGTGATTTCTCGGCTGTCAGTTGATTTCTGGATGAGCTTGGAGGTGGGGTAGTTACCTTCTTCTTTTTTGCTCCCACCCGGGGCATTTGACCCCCTTATTTGTTACCACCCCGGGGAATTTGCCATGTTTGGTGAAACTGCTCATGCCCGGGGATTGGCCCAAGGGAATGGGCACTACTGGAATTACGTGTTGAATACTGAAGTTCTGCTGAGGTCAACAGCAGATGAGAACAAATGTGATTACAACCTTGTTAAAAATACCTGAAAGATTTCATCGCTTATTCTGGTCATTATTAGCTAATCTCTGTGCAACAACATCGGAAAGATTTCCGTAAAAGTACTGTATAAGACTACGCGCACAAACCTTGGCACAAAGTTGTGTGCATAATTAAAGTTTATGTCTTTGGGTGTAGGGAAATTTTGCGTTTGATTGATTGATCGATCAGTAAAACAAACAACCAAACAAACAAATAAATACGAAGATACAAACAAACAAAACAGATTTACAGTCAAGCAATATCAGCGCGCGCGGTATCTAAGTTCTCACTTTGATCGTGTCAAACGGATGGCCGATAGTCACGCCACAAACTCCTCCAAATCCTCCAGCAAAGAAATTTTTCACGCCAGATGTACTCCTTCCTTGTTGTCCGTTGCCTCCTGAATCTATCTGAACTCCGCTAGGACCTACTGCAGTCCCCTGAACATCAGTGCTTTCCATTTGCCGGTCGTGCAGACATATGTGATGACATCACATGGTAGTGCCCGTGCGTGACGGAGGTCGGCACGCAGCGAGAACTGATTTGAGTCAGTGCCCATTGAAGATCCACTAAAGACAAATACATCAACATTGTTTTCCTTTTCTCGGAGAAATTGATGTTTTTTTAATCTTGAAAAAGGAATTCTTATGTATGCGTAAGTGGGAGAGTACAAATTTTCAAAAAGATGAAACGCATTTTAAAACCAACGCTTATAGATTAGAATATTTATGAAACGCTCTTATCAATAAATGTCAGATATCATGCGTAGTACTCGCTGAATGCTCTGGTCTAGGAGATTTTCGGTCTTTTTATATTCACAGAAATTTGATTGACAGATAGATAAGATAAATTGATAACCTTTTGAGTTTCTTTCGTTACTTCCGGTTGATCGATGGTCTGAGTGACCAGACCCATTCCCTCTCAATCTACGTATACGTCTGGGATGACGTCGAAAGTTCACTCATTTCGGCTCTAGTTAGCTGTCTACAATTGACGTGATTTTTTCTCACCTTTCCTTACGAACACCACTTTCAAAATGTCTGAGGTAATATAAAGTTGTTTGAAAATGCTTTCTGGCCTCAGCTCTTTCAAATTTCCCATTTTACGGCGAAACGTTTTCTCCTTCCCCGTTAGGCCTTTCACAAAGCCGCTGAAGAGGTGAAGAAATTGCCAACAAAACCAAGTGATGAAGACATGTTGGAAGTTTACTCGCTTTACAAGCAAGTCACCGTCGGCGATTGCAACACAGGTACATAAAACCAACTGCGTATTATTCATGTTTAAAGTGTTTTAAAAACAGAGGAAAATTCTTCAGATTGTGATTCCAGCTGCAGTTGTCGAATATGGCCTCATCAGAAAGCATATTAACCTTTGCACTGATGTGGTTCTTGCTTGAAACGGTGTTTAAGTCTAAAGCTTATATTGAACTTAGTCTGAAGTTGACTGTAACTTATTCGATAGTCAATAAAATGGTATTGCTGAAGAAAATTGCGAAAACAATATTTGAATTAAGCTTACCTTTGTACGTCTGGTGCAAAATTTACGCGGAGTTGTCACGTGCCAATGAATGGCCATGAATTGACTTTTGACGCCTCTTCTTGACTATTTAATACTTTTATTTGTTTGTTTAGTATGAGACTTAACCAGACTTTGAACGTGCCTAAACCACATGCCCTTAAAGTGCCTATGAAGTAAAAAATAATTGCTGCTGAATTGAAAGGCTTTTCAAAGTAAAGAAGAATGGCGTTTTACTTTTTGGAATATCTTTTTTCGTTTTAGAGATATTCACGTTTTTGTATTATAAGTGATGATGTCATAGGTGGTTCCACTAAAACAGTTCAACACTCAATCAGAATATCTCTAGAAATATTAACGCAGTGTTCTTTAAACTTGGCACCAGAAATGTACATCACAAAAGAAACAAAATGACACCCGTCATGCTATCGCCATGATAACAGTTATGCCACTGGTCCTGTTTTAACTAAAACTAATAATACCAGATTTTATCTTAAGCAAGGATCATCCACTCCCAACAATCTAATAGGGAGAGTTTAGACAATATGGGAATCATGTGTGTTCCAAGCAAGACCCTCTGTCTCTTTTCGAAGGGTTGCAAATTGGCATATTTCGTTTTTCACAGAAAGAGACTGGAGCCAAAAGTGTTGCCATGGCAACATCACAGAAGGTGTCATTCTGTTTCTTTTGTGATGCACATTTGTGGTGTCAAGTTTGAAGAACACTGCTCCAATATTTCTAGAGATATTCTTGATTCAGTGTTTTACTGTTCAAGTGGAACCACCTATGACGTCATTCCTTTCCTCATTTGCATAATACAAAAACATAAAGATCTCTACAACGAAAACAGATATTCCAAAAAGGGAAACGCCATTCTTCTTTACTTTGAAAAGCCTTTCAAATGAGCAGCAATTACTTTTTACTTCATAGGCACTTCAAGTGTGTGGTTCACAGAGACTAGGATAGGAGCAATCCTTGGCGAGAGGAGGTACCCTCGCTCTCCCAGTTGTCACACAGCTTAACACTACTTCTTCCAGGAATGCTTGCTAAGCAGGCTAATATTTTTGTAATAGCCATCTAATTTCTGTATCTAAAGTGTCACAATTTGATGAAATCTAAAAGTACACATAATTTATGTAAATGTTTTGAATAATTTATAATGAATTATCAATTTATCTAGATAATATTAGGCTGATGAAAACATGGAAGAGAATCACAGAATTGTAATTTAAGAGGCAGCTCAAACTTTGGGAAAGTTGAAAAAAGAGAAGTATTAGATGGCAATATATCTCTGATCTCATGGTAGACACATTGATGAATGCCCCACAAACATGATCAAGGCTGGTGTAAAAAGAACAAGACATGATCACAAACCTGGTCTTCTTGTTTTTTGTCTTCTTCTCGCTGTAACATTAAACAGTGAGACAAGTGTTAATCCTATACACATGCAATTATCATGACCAATTGACCGACCGACCGACGGACCAACCGACCAAGTAAGTAACACAAAGGGCAATCTGATTACATTGGTAAGGGATAAATTATTTCCATATTTCCGATCATTCAGTGTTACACTTTCATCAAGATCCATTTTCTAGACACTGTTGATCTGCAATTTACCACATGTAAGACTGCTAAAGGTGCAATTAAAAAATTTCAGAGTTTGGCAGTATACCTTTTTGTTTACCTGTATAACAATCAAATGCCTACATATATTTTAAGGGTTAAGTTTTATGAAAGGATGACAAAATTTGGAATTATTTAAGCAACAGACTTGCTTGTACAAAATGTGACAAGATAGGTTGACTCATCTTCAGTATT